TGGCCATTCTAACTGGTGTAAGGTGATATCTCAATGTGGTTTTAATTTGAATCTCCCTGATGGCTAGTGATGATGAACATTTTTTCATGTGTCTGATAGCCATTTGTATGTCTTCATTGGAGAAGTGTCTGTTCATACCTTCGGCCCATTTCTTGATATGATTATCTGTTTTGTGTGTGTTGAGTTTGAGGAGTTCTTTATAGATCCTGGATATCAATCTTTTGTCTGTACTGTCATTTGCAATTTTTTGATTGGATAACTGGGTGATGGGCATTAGAGAGGGCACTTGATGTAATGAGAACTGGATATTACACACAACTGATGAATCACTGAATTCTACTGCTGAAACTAACATACTATATGTTAATTAATTGAATTTTAATTTAAAAATAAAATAAAATAAATTCTAAAAAACTTTTAATTTTTATTTATTTTTTAATTTCTTTTCAGTGTACTGGAATTCATTGTTTATGTACCACACCCAGTGTTCCATGCAATACATGCCCTCCATAATACCCACCACCAGGCTCACCCAACCTCCTATCCCAGAACCTGCCAAAACCCTCAGATTGTTTTTCGGAGTCTATAGTCTCTCGTGGTTCATCTCCCCCTCCAATTTCCCCCAACTCCCTTCTCCTCTCCATCTCCCCATCTCGTCCATGTTATTTGTTATGCTCCACAAATAAGTGAAACCATATGATAATGGACTCTCTCTGCTTGACTTATTTCACTCAGCATAGTCTCTTCCAGTCCCGTCCATGTTGATACAAAGTTGGGTATTCATCCTTTCTGATGGAGGCATAATACTCCATAGTGTATATGGACCACATCTTCCTTATCCATTTGTCTGTTGAAGGGCATCTTGTTTCTTTCCACAGTTTGGCAACTGTGGCCATGGCTACTATGAACATTGGGGTACAGATGGCCCTTCTTTTCACTCCATCTGTATCTTTGGGGTAAATACCCAGTTAAAAAAATTTTAATGTAGGTCTTTGACCTGTTTTGAACTAATTTTTGTGTGTTGTATGAGGTAGGTTTCCAGCTTCCTTCTTTTGTGTGTGGATAGCCAGATGTGTCAGGACCATTTCTTACAGAGACTTTTCTTTTTCCACTGAAGGGCCTTGGCACCAGTTATTGGAAATTATTTAACCATAGATTTATGGGTTTCTTTCTGGACTTTAAACTCTATTTTACTGATCTGTATGCCTATCCTTATGCCAACGCCCTCCTGTTCTGATTATTGTAGGTTGGTAGTCAGTTTTGAAATTAGGAGATTAAGTACTCCAATTTTTTTTTCATCTTCAAGTGAATTTTAGGTTGAGCTTTTTCATTTCCACAAAAACTTAAATATCTAAAATTGCTTTGGAATCCTGATAGGGATGGCACTGATTCTGTAAATCTCTGCAGGGACCATTGCCATCATAACAATATTGAGTCACCCATCCATAAACACAGTTAACAGTTTTCTATGTACAGTCTTGAGCTCCCTTGAATAAAATTATTCCATATATTTTGTTGACTCTTTCATCAACTATGTTCATATAAGATTGGTCTATAGTTGGTTTTTTTTTTCTTGTGATGTCTTTATTTAGTTTTGTTTGCAGGGTAATGGTGGCCTCATAGGTAGTATTTCTTCCTATATTATTTTACTTTATTTTATTTTACTTTATGGAGGAGTTTACAAAGGATTAGTCTTTTAAATGGATGATATCATCCTTAAATAGAATTCAGCAACAAAACCATCTAACGTGAGCTTTTTGTTCAGGGAAGGTTTTGATAAACAACACAATGTCTCTACCTACAGCAGGTCTGTCCTGATTTTCTGTTTCTTCTAAAGTCAGTTTTACTAATGACATGTTATGATATGTTGGCTAATTAAACTTAATTTTTAAAAAGTCAGTTTTAAGCACTGTATGTGTTGCAAAAACAATGAATAATGTTACGCTGAAAAGAAATTAAAAAAAAAATAAGAAGACATACAAAAAGTCAGTTTTAGTAGTTTTGTGACTGTTTAGGAATTTTCTCATTTTTTCTAGGTTATCTAACCTACTGTTGAATAATTGCTGATAATATTCTCTTATAACCCTTGATAAATTCAAATTTTACACATATATAAAATTATTATGTATACCAAATATGTGCAATATTGTTATTATGTGTGTCAAATAATACTATTATTAATATATAATATATATTAGATCTAGAACATTCATATGTTATATGCATATATTATATGTGCATTCTATAAATTATATAATATTCAACAGTATATTTTATACTATATATGACTTCTGTATGTATTTATATTACATATAAAGTATTTATATTATAGATTTAGGTAATACATGAAATATTTTTATACATACATCATATATACACACATAGAATGGTATTATATCAACCACTACTGTCACAAATACTAATCTATCTCCCTTACACAACTCTGGAATCTCATAGACCTGTCCCTGAAGGTGTGGGAGCAAGGAGATAAAACTGTCATCTTGAGTCAGAATCAGGTGAAGATGATGCTGAACTGGGATGTGGTGCATGAATCTGAGGACTCAGGTAATGGCTGAAATGGGAGGAAGATGCCCAAGGATGTGACAAACAAGAAACTGAAAATTAAAGGGAAACAGGGGTAGAGTGGAGCCACAAAGAGTCCATCTGAGGAGGAAGGGGCCCTATTGGCACCCCAAGGTATCACATTGGCCTCATCCTGCAGGTCCTTCTGTGGTGGGCCTCATCTCCACTCCAGGGATGGGCAAGTTGCTGGCGGAGGCCCCTCTGGTCCTGGAGCCTGAGAAACAGGCAGTTCTGCATGGGGCACACAAGGGCGTGTTGCCAGAAGTCTCCTCTGTCCTGCTCTCAGATGTCATCTCTGCCTTTATGAGCAACAAGGACACCCAGAACCTCAGCTCCCCCATCACCTTCATCTTCTCTCACCATGTGAGTGTTGGGGTGAGATAGGCCGTGGGTGTGGAATGAGCCTAGGTCCTGGGCACAGCCTTGCTGCCTAGCTCAGTCTTGAGGTTTCAGGGGGTTGCCCCATGGGTGCATCATTCCTCAGGAAAGCCCTTTGCAAGCCAGCTTTGGATAAGCATTTCTGAACACCAGAACCACCAGTTCCTACCTACATTCTCGTCCTGCAGTCAGTGACCCCTGGGCCAAGGCAAAAGGTGTTCTGCGTCTTCTGGGAGCACAGTCTGGATGGATATGGTCATTGGTCCACCACAGGATGCAGGATGGTGACCACTGAAGACACCAGCACCACCTGCCAGTGCACCCATCTCAGCAGCTTTGCTGTCCTCATGGCCCACTATGATGTGCAGGTGAGAGCCCTGGAAGGGGCTGCATTCCATGCCTATTGCTCTGTAACATGTTTCCTCATATGTAGGGGCTTTAAATAAACAGAAATTTATATCTGTGGTTTCTTTGGGGCATCTTGGGCATGGTGTGGCTGAGTTGTCTGTTCTGAGTCTTACAAGCCTGAAATTGACCAGAGCTGCATTGTCCTCTGTGGCTCAGGGTCCTCCTGGGAGCTCCCTGGTTGCTGGCAGGATTCAGTTCTTTGCAGTCATAGGGCTAGGGTTCCACTTTCTGGGTAGCTGTGAGCAGGGGACCTTGCTCAGCTCCTCGGGGCTGCATGCATTCCTTCTCTGGCAGCCCTCACACAGCGTCTCAGCATTTCTTTTATTTTTTTTAATCATTTTTTTTATTTATTTTCAGCATAACAGTATTCATTGTTTTTTGTACCACACCCAGTGCTCCATGCAATCTGTCTCAGCATTTCTATTCAGAGATGAGCAGGAGGAGCTCCCTGACCACAATTGCTCTCAAACTTCAACTCATTTTTCTCCAAGAGCCCAGAGGTTTTAAGAGCTAACTTGATTAGACCAGGCCCACCCACAATAAACTCCCTCTCAGAGACATAGGATCTGAATTCCATCAGCATAATCCCTTCACAGCAGCACCTAAAATGGCATTTAACTGAAAATCCAGAAGAAAGTGTGTGTACACCTATTATTGACAAATTAGATTTCTGCTTATGACAGGGGTCTTCAGGACAGGAAGTCTGTAGAAAGTGGCTCTCAGGAGCTGTAGAAAGGAAGATTTGGTGATAACAGAGGCAAAGGGGCCAAGAAAGCCAGTGAGTACAGGTGAGTTAGGAACAATGCTTGCCTGCTCCCTTAGCCAGGTGAGTTACTTCCTCTGGATCACCACATCAAAGACTTCCTTACCTGATGTGTAAAGTAAAATAAACCCTTGTGAGTTCCTGGGTTCTGTCTTTTTTTTAAGATTTTATTTATTTATTTGACAGACAGAGATCACAAGTAGGCAGAGAGGCAGGCAGAGAGAGAGAGGGAAGCAGGCTCCCTGCTGAGCAGAGAACCCAATGTGGGGCTTGATCCCAGGACCCTGGGATCATGATCTGAGCCAAAGGCAGAGGCTTTAACCCACTGAGCCACCCAGGTCCTCCCCTGGGTTCTGCCTTAAGTAAGGACTCTTATTCCTCAATTCTTCCAAGGTCTGAGTTAATCAATTCATATTTCCATAAAATTCTAGCATTCTAAACCTGTAGGAATTTATCCAATAACATAACAAGTTTACCTACCTCCTTCTTTCCTGATTTGGCTACACCAAAAATTAAAATTAAATTTAAAAATTTTAGATGGAAGATTTAGGGAAATGTGACTATGATGTCCTTTTTGCTTCTCTTTGCTGGATCCCAGGAGAAGGATCCCGGGCTGGCTGTGATCACATACCTGGGGCTGGGCCTCTCTCTGCTCTGCCTCCTCCTGGCATCCCTCACCTTCCTGCTGTGCAAAACCATCCAGAACACCAGCACCT